TACCGGCGGAGGAGAACGTTAAGAGGAAAATAAATTAAAAAGAAATCCATTCGAGCTGTAATTGTAATACAGTGTATCATAGTCAATTGAATCACAAATACAAGCTGGTCCCTTGTCAATTGATTTCAGCAAGTAAACAATTTGGGTATTTAAATTGGAAATTCACTGCAAAGGGAGTGGGATTTGGTTCAAGGAGAACTAAAACTTCAGGTCGAAGTTGGCTCTGGGTCTCCAGTACTGGTTGACCTGGCGACTCTGCACTGGAGGGAGGGGACACATTCCTGCCCTGCCTGCCACTTGGGAGTCATCTCCTCTGGACACCGTCCTAGCCCCCGGCCAGAGCACATGGCCACCTGCTCTGGGCCACCTTTGTTCCTAGGTACTTCCGCCTCTGCCCATGCTTCCCGCAGCAAGCTGGGGCTTGTCTGTCACATGGATGAATTCCCCTCCACACTAAGGGGCTTCCAGTGGGCAGAGGTCCTGGTTTACTTCCTGAGCCAAGCCCAGGTGAGAGGGCAGTACTTGGACCATGCAGCTATCGAGAGAATAATTGGGTGTGTAATGGCTGAGGAGATGGATGGGTGGAAGAATGGATAGACAGGTAGATGGGTGGGTGGATGGATAGGTGGATGGGTGGGTAGATGGATGGATGGATGGAAGGATAGGTAGGTGGATGGGTGAGTGGATTGATGGATAGATAGGTAGATAGGTGGATGGATGGGTAGGTAGGTAGATGGCTGGATGGGTGGATAGATGGATAGATAGGGTGGGTGGATAGACAGGGTGGGTGGATAGATAGGTAGGTGGATGGATGGGTAGGTAAGTGGATGGATGGATGGATAGATGGATAGGTAGGTGGATGGGTGATTGGATGGATAGGTGAATGGGTGGGTGGATAGATGGGTAGGTAGATGGATGGATGGATGGATGGACAGATGGATAGGTAGGTGGATGGGTGAGTGGATGGATGGATAGGTAGATGCATAGGTGAGTGGATGGATGGATGGATAGATGGGTAGGTAGATGGATAGATAGGGTGGGTGGATAGGTAGGTAGGTGGATGGATGGATGGATGGATAGATGGATAGGTAGGTGGATGGGTGAGTGGATGGATGGATGGATAGATGGGTAGATAGATGGATAGATAAGGTGGGTGGATAGGTAGGTAGGTGGATGGATGGGTAGGTAGGTGGATGGATGGATGGATGGATGGATGGATGGATGGATGGATGGATAGATGGATAGGTAGGTGGATGGGTGAGTGGATGGATGGATGGGTGGGTACAGAGCGGCTGGAGAGATGTGTGAACAGCTTAGCAAGACTGCTGGATGTTTCTGAGCTAATCAAGACAAGCGGCCACTTTGTTGAGAAGCGCCTTTCTTACTCCAGAGCCTCTTACTTCCAAGCAAGAAACCGTTTTCAGAGCAAAGCAATGCCTGTTGCCTAGAGGATTTACTGGTCTCCCTATTCCACTAAGCAGCTGGCCTTGAGCACAGTGAACAACCCCTGGACGACCCCTCCAGGAACAGTGCCCAGGAGGAGGGGTGCGGTCCTGCAGGGCGGGGCATCTGCAGGAGCCTGTGGAGGTCATGCCTCTCCAAGTTGCCTCCCCCACGGGGTCACACCATGTCCACCCCAGGGTCTGCCTGAGCTGGCACCAAGGAGCACTGTTCGCCTGGTGGTCACAGCATGGCTCTGCTGCAGTGAGGCTGACCAGCCACATGTCCAGGGCTACCGAGTCAACAGGCGGAGAGGACATGGGAGCCATGCCCAAGGGCGAGAGATCTGAGGGTGGGGGTAGGGCAGAGAGGACCGAGCCCAGAGGGGGTCCCGGAGCAGTGTGTGTTCCCACGGTGCCCACGGCAGGCAAGCCTTCCTCGCTCTGATGAAGAGTGAAGTCACGGCACAGCAAGTGAAGATGGAAGTGAAGGGGACGGGGGCAGGGTGTGCTTTTCAGAGACGGCCATGTTGCCCCTCTTCCCAAGACGTGACGTCTCCCTCCCTCCCCATGAACCTGGGTGGGCTCAGCTTTGCTCACTGCAGTCCCAGTGATGCTATGTGACTTCGGAGATGAGGTCTCAGACTAGGATGCCGTTTCTGCCGGGCTCTCCCTCTGGGGATGCTCCCTGGGACCAGCGGCCAGCCATGCAGAAGCCCGGGCCACAGGGAGAGGCCACATGCCAGCGTCAGGCCAGCAACCCTAGGTCGGATCCCAGTCAACGGCCGGCATTGACCAGCAGGCCTGCAGCTGAACAAATCTGCACGTGATTCCAAACCAGGACCAGAGACGAGCTGTCCCTGCAGGCCCCAGCCTAAAGGAGGGTCAGTGGCATTGTTGGGGGCTGTTTTGTTCCACAGTCATGACAACTGCTACAGACACTAGCCGAGCCTCCCCGCTCTGCTGTCTGTTTAACGAGTTCCCTCAGGTCTTCTACTCCCCCTGCCCCAACACCGTATCACTGAGCTGCCTTAGAGGAGGCTGTGCTGCTTACGGAGTCCGTAAGCCGCTCGGCGATGGCCTCACGGCAGCACTAGAAAACATCCAAGAGCAACGGTGCCTGGTGGACAGCCCCTCAGGGAGAGGAAGGCACTCTGTCTTTAATTTTGTCTTCTGCTTCGTTTGGTTGTGTTTGGTTGTCTGCCTGAGTTGTGTCCTGGGGAGTGGAGGAGTTGCTGAGATTGTGTGTGGTTGACAGTGTACACGCGGAGTGTAAGGGCTCCTTGGACGCGTTCCCCACCCCCATCCCACCCCCCGCAAGCCTGGCTCAGCAGGGGGCCTCGCAGGTTTGTAGCTCAGGGTCCGAGGGGCCTGAAGTGCCGGGTCCGGACCCTGGGCAGGGGGTCCCCACAGCAGGGTCCTCTTGGGCTTCTGCGGCAAGCTGGGAGCAGGCACGGCACAGCCAGCGCAGGTGGAGCCTGAGCCCCAGCCTTGTGCAGGCCTGGCTCCCGTCACCCTCCCGCTGGAGGCTCTAACAGTCCCATTCTACAGACGGGAAACCGAGGCTCGGGGGAGGGAGCCATGAGTGCCCCTGGGCTGTGACCGATGTTGAACAAACACCTCTCTTCCACCAACTCGGTGCTGAAGCCAGGTTCTTCCCAGCACCCACACGCTCCCCAAGAGGAAAGTTCAATGCAGCCAGCCTCTGGCTTCCCATGACTCGCGTCTGGCCTGGAGATGTGGAGACTGGTTCCAAGTCTGGTTTTGCTGCCACGTGCTATGGAACTTCAGGGAGCCTGGTCTCTCTCTGGGCCTTCCCAGGAGAGGAAGGGACAGGGCGGGGGTGCTCCCCCAATCCTGCCGGCTCCGGGAGGGCACAGTGGGTACCACCAGTCATCGCGGCCCCGGCCCATTCTGTGCGGGCACCAGACGGGCACCCGCTGACTGGCCGCTCACTGCCTGCACCCAGATGGCTGGCCCGGCTCTTGACCTCCCTGCCACTCCAGACAGCAGGAGCCCAAGGTCACCCTGATGCGTCACTCTCCAGCAGGGAAGTTCGGAGTCCAGATAGGTGGTGGCCACTGCTGCCATCAGCCCTGCCCCGGCCGCCCTCCTCCTGGCCCCGTGCTGCCCTCAGCCCATCCATGCCAATGCCTTGCCCCGGAACACCTGCTCCCCGCAGGGTCAGCAAGCGGTGCCAGCGGGGCGGCAGGGGGTGCTGGGGTCCTGGCAGCCTTTCCTGCACCCCCCCACCCCCCAGACGCTCCAAGGTCGGGCGGCCGAGAGTGAGCAGAGGCAGTGCCTGTGCAGGCAAGCCCGGGCCCCTGGGCTCGGGCGGCCAGGCGGGGTGCAAGGGGCCGGCCAGCTGTCTCCTGCTTCTCCACCCTCATGCCCAGCCTTGCCCCGCCCCGGGCTACCCTGCCCTGAACACCTCCCCTCTGTGGCCCACCCCCAGCCTGGCCAGCAGAGCTGGGCTGTGCACTCACACGTGCGGCCCTCCCGGCGCCTGAAGGCCTGAGGCCTCGCACCTGTGGCCAGAGCTGTAAAATCCAATTTGCGGCCAACACCACCTCCTCCAGACACCCTGGGCCCGAGCAGCCAGCGCCCTGTGGCTGCAAAGCTGAGGAAGTGGCTGCCTCCCTGGCCCGAGGGTCTGCCTGCTGCCCGCCCCCCCCTCTGCAGCCTGTCCTGCTGCCGTGCCCACACCGCCGCGGGGTCGCATTTCCCAGGCCCTGGGGAAGATAGTGTTGAGAAACGCAGAGCTTCGCAGGATCATCCAACCTGAAGCTGTCTCTGGGGCAAAGCGGCTGGGGTCCGGAATGCTTCAGCCCCTCTACAGTGGAAGACGGACTGGGGGGGTGGGGTGAGAGGCTGGAGGATGAGGGGCCACTGAGCAGGAAGCAGCCTCCTGCAGACCCTTCTGGAATTCTGAGGCCGTGGGCTCTGCCTGGCCTGGGGGCCTGGTGTGTGCAGCCCCCAGCCCACAAGGTCCTGAGCTCCATGGGGGCCAGTAAAGGGCAGCGCTGAGTCCGGCAGTGAGGGGCCGGGGTCTGCCTGCACCCCCTCCCCACGGCGGCGGGGCCGTCTCCGCCCTCTCCCACCCGCAGAGGCCAGGCGCGCCCAGGGGCCTCTCTGGCTGCAGCCCCTCCTGTGCAGGAACGCCTCCCCCATGCCTCACTCTTGCAGAAGAGGGGGACCCACGGGCAGCCTGAGCTGAGCTCTTCCTACCCCGGTCCCCCTTCTCCGTGCCCAGCCCCCGGCCGGGCAACCGGAGGCAGAGAAGCTGTGACATCACTTCGGGAGCTGGAGGGGCCACAGAGCTAGGTGGGGGGCTGCCCGGTGGTCCTCGGGGAGGACGGGGCGGGCCACGGCTGGGCTGGGCTCCCACAGGCAGTGGAGGCCCTCCCCCATCTCACATTTCCTGCCCACGCGGCCATCTCACCCCCACTCACACACTCAACACACGCCCCTGCCACCCCTCCCACCCCACGCAGCCCAGGCTCCATCTCTGGGGTCTCGGAGCTGCCTCCTGCTGACGGATGACAGATGGGGATCAGCGCCCCTGTGGCTGGCTCTGATGGCAGTTTATTGGGCGGCTTAGCCAGGGGCCGGCACAGAGGCTGGGGGTCGGCACACGGCAGGCGGCAGGCAGGTGCGAAGCTCTGCGGGTCCATGCAGGCCAGGCGACATCAGCGGCCTGCAACACAAGAAGCTCCGTCAGCTCCTGGCGAGAGAGCCAGGCTCAGCTGCGGCAAGAGCAGGCGGAGGAGGCCTGGGTCTCCCCGCACGCCAGCCTCCTGGGGGAGCCGAGGGCTCCCCCTTGGGCAGGGCTGTTGGAGCTGGGGTCCTTGTCCCTGCGCCCCTGGGGGCAGGAGGTTGGGCAGTGAGTCACAAGGCGGCAAGGAGGGTGGGCCCTGACGGCCAGCCTCCATCTCACAGGTGAGAAGGCAGAGGTCCCGGGAGGGGAGATGCCGGGGCCGTGGTGCCGGCATAGGCCCTCCCCCCGACCCAGGTCAGGCTTCCCCAGACCTCACTGCCCTCCCTCCACCCCTGCCCAGCCCGTCCTCACCCGCGAGTCCGGCCTGGCTGCCCTGCTCTCTCCTACCTCCGAAGCCACACGCCTGGCACTTTCTTGGCGCCTCCTGGCCCCCGGCCTCTCCCTTCCGGGACGTCACAGCCGGCCGGCCCCTTCGGCCCCGAGGGCCCCACTGACCGCCACCGCCCCCCGGCAGCGCAGCCCGCACATCCTCCTCAGAAACACAAGGACTGCGGCCACACGCGTGTGCACAGGCTGGGGGCCCCACCACCACCCTGGAGCCGCGAGCCAGCGGGTGAAGGGCAGCTCCTCAAACGGCACCTCTTAATGCGGCCCCAGAGCACACTGTTGAAAATCACAGCCCACCGGGCGGGCACTTCCCAGGCCCCTGCAGAAGCCCTGAGGAACAGGGCCGCCCCCTCCGCCGCGCCCAGGCACCCCTTGCATGTGGAGTTCTCCAGGCGCGTGCCACCTCCCTCGCCTCCCCACAGCCCCCTCTGAAGACCACAAGAACTGCTGCTGGTCTGTGCTTCCATCCCTGCTGAGCAAGCTTGCCTGCCCTCCTCCTGGAGGGAATGCTGAGTCCCAGGAAGTGGGGGAGGCCGGAGGGGAGCAGCGGTCACTCCCCAACCGCCCCCAGACGCCGGCCCCAAAGGGTGACCGAGGCTCAGCCCACGTGGGCGCCCTTCAGAGCTGCGCCGGCCTCAGCCCCCTCCCCAGAGAGCCTGTGTGTCTCCTCTGCGTCCTCACCCACCTTCCCATCCCTGCACCCCACCTCCGTGCCTGTCACCTCCTCCCCAGGCCCCCTCCCAGGAGGCCCTCTCAAAGCCGGCTTCGCGGGAGACCCTGTCCCGAGAGCCAGCTGCAGGCTGGGGCCTCTAAGCTCCGTCTCCTGGTTGGTAAAACGGGGCAACGGTCAGCTGGCACCCCCAAGCTGGCTTAGCCCTTCCTGGAAGCCTGGGCACAGGCTCTGGCTGGCAGGATGGTGGAGACTCAGCAGCCCCCTGCTGACCCCCGAGCCCGGGCCTATGCAGACCCCACCCTGCCCTCGGCAGGCGCATCGCCACCTGCATGAGTGGACTCAAGTGGCGGACCCTTGCACCCAGCACACGGCCCCCACCCCAAGCTTCCTGCCTGCCGCTCCGCCCTCTGGAGGCGGAGCCTCAGCCGCAAGGCTCTGGTGCGCGGCTGCAGGGGAGACCTTTGGATCTGAACAGATGGGAGGCTGCCGGGATCTGGAAGGCAATTGGGATGGGAGGCCGCGGCCTGCAGGGCTGAGCTGCCAGCACTGGGATCTCCCCGGGGCTGGGGGTCTGCGGGGCCTCCAGGGGGGGCACACATAGGTCCACGGTGCAGAGACTGGCTCTCAGGGTGCTGGGGCTGGAGGGGGCTGTCTTTCTGAGCTTTGCATGACCCGCAGCCCTGCGCTGCCCCCATCCCTGCTGCACCCTCTTCCTGCCCTGGCCGACCTCCTCAGTTCCTGTCTCCTCAGGGTGTCGTCACCGCGGGGGCCACAGGGGCTTCACACACCCCCACCTCATCAAGATGGTGCCCGGCTCCAAAGACCCCCAGGGTCTCAGGGACCCTGGGTTGATTTAGACCCATAACCTGCACCTTCCCCACCTCACCATCAACTTCATGCCTCAGCCACACTCTGCCTGCCCCGTGCTTTCTGATCTCTTAAGAGGAGGGTCATGGCCGGGTCTACAGCCAGGATCAGGCTCTGAGTCAGGTCCATCCCATGACCACAGTGTGCCCAGGGGCAGAGCTGAGTGTGTGAACAGGGCCAGGACCCAGAGTGTGACCAGGGTCAGGGCTCAGAGTGGGACCAGGGCCAGGACCCAGAGTGTGACCAGGGTCAGGGCTCAGAGTGGAACCTGGGCCAGGACCCAGAGTGTGCCCAGGGTCAGGGCTCAGAGTGGGACCTGGGCCAGGACCCAACAGGGTCAGGGCTCAGAGTGGGACCTGGGCCAGGACCCAGAGTGTGCCCAGGGTCAGGGCTCAGAGTGGGACCAGGGCCAGGACCCAGAGTGTGACCAGGGTCAGGGCTCAGAGTGGGACCAGGGGCAGGACCCAAGAGTGGGACCAGGCTCAGGGGTCAGTGTGGGACCAGGCTCAGGGGTCATTGTGTGACCAGGCTCAGGGCTCAGAGTGGGACCAGGGGCAGGACTCAGAGTGGGAGCAGGCTGCCCTAGGGTCTGTCTGGAGCACCATCCTTTGACTGCCTGGGGCTCAGACCACCCCTGAGCTCCCTGGGCTGTGGGGTGATGGCGAGAGTCCTTCTCGGGGTGCAGGCACCACAGAGGCGGGGCTTGGCTCCCCGGGTCCAGGAGGGGGTGGTGCCCAACCCTCAGGTCGCTGTCGACATCCCTCAGATGAGTCATTTCTCACCCACTCACCACTCTGCCAGTGGTGCGCCCACCCCCTTGGTATCTGCCATGGGGATCCAGGCCCAGACCCCTGGGCCTCCTCCTCCACTGCTGGGCCTGATGCCAGTCTCATGTGTCCGCTGGCCGACTGACCATCGCCCCCTGGACCAAGGCTGCATGTGGGTTAGCCCTGCCCTGGGAGGGAGAGTTCAAGGGCTGAGCAGGAGAGCACCCAGCACAGATACAGTCTGCTGGTCCTGCCTGGTGACAGTCTCTGAATAGCTTATTAGAAATTAATATTTAATTCTCTTCTGTGGATTTAGCTTAATTATTCAATTTATTATTGCAATTACTGAGAAGTACCCAGAAGCAAAACTGCTTGCTTTGAGCAGGGAAACAGTTGGGGGGCAGTGTGGGGCATCCTTGAGAAGCGCAGCTGACCCTCAGAATGCTTGCTTCATAGACTTAGGTCCAGGGACTCCCCCAGCTCCCCTGAAGTCCTCATTTTGCAGTGAGGCCCTCTCTCTTCTGTCAGGCGGCTCCCTTCTAAGTGCCTGTCCTGCAAGTGGGGCCTGGAGGCCTCCCCTCAGGGGGTCTCCGAGGGCAGGACCCCACCTGCTGCCTCCTGCGTGGCTCTGGAGAAGCAAGGGGAGGAAAGTGGCCAGGCCCTCACCACCGCACTGGGCTGATGGACGGGGCCCCTGCGGGAGCCCCATGACTGCACAGCCCTGCGTCGGGGCGGGGACTGTCCCCCTCACGGGTCTGATACCAAAGCTGTGAGGAGCTGTGGACCTGCCCCCTGCCCCCGGTGGAGACGGTGGGTGGGACCCAAACCCAGGGCCATGCCACCACACAGACGTGCTCTCACCAAACCCTCGGCCTTAGGCGGTGTCCTCCTGCCACCTGGTGAGTGGGGTCTTCACAGTGGACACAGGGCTGGATGGCTCAGTGGCCTGACCCCGGGGTCACGGTGGGCCAGGGGGATGGGAGTGGCGCCGGGCTTCGCCCTCCCCCACTCAGAGGGGCCCTGGCTGGCATCATCAGGTACCCCCGCTCCTGTCCTGATGATGCTGAGGGCCCGGGGCCCTGGCACAGCCTGGGATTCTGGCACACTCCAGGGACAGTGTGACCCCTGGACAGGTGCGGCCCCAAAGCCCGGAGTCACAGAACCAAATCTGAGGCCAGTGCCAGCTGTTGGAAGGGAGGGGGTTAGGGAGGGGGGACAGTGAGGGCGGGGGCTGCCCCAGGGACACGGAGGGCCACGGCCACCTCCCCAGGAGCTGGGCACAACGGGCTCAAGCACCCCTACCCCCCCACGATGGGAACAAAGGCCGAGGGGCTGGGGTTGAGCGAGGTTTCCAGCCTGGGTTTCAGGAGTCACTGGGGAGCCCGAACTCCTGCTTCTGGGGAGGCGTGTGGTCGCGCAGGTCAGCAGCCAGTTCACAGGAGAGGAAGCCTGCCACGTCCCCGTGGGCACCTGGGGCAGCTGCTCCAGCTGCGGGTCCCAGGCTGGGACCTGAAAGGCTCCACGTCGTTCCATCCTGCCCCCTCCCAGCGGCTGGCAAATGCCGTCACACTGTCCACCAGCCCCTCCCGTCTTCACACCTCTGTGCGGCTGCCAGCACTTTCATGCTTTTGTTCTCTTCCACCTTTGTCCTGGTGGGGGGCATTCCCACTGGCTGGCTGGGCCAGGCCCCCCTCACGTGGCCATCTGCCCAGCCTGGGGGTGCCGAGGGGTGGGGCCATCACATGTAAAGGGAAGGGGGCTTGCTGGGAGCAAACTCTGCTTCTGACAAGCGGCCCCAGGAAGCCCGGGGGCCTCCTGAACGCAGCCTGGCCTGGCTCCTGCTGCGGTGCTCCACTGACAGTGACCCCAGGCCTTTGCCTGGCCCGGCTCCCGGCCCCAAGAGCCCAGCTCCTTGTTTGGTGGAGGAGCCCATACCCAGCTCTCAGTCCTCAGCTCTCAAGAACCACCTCCTCCAGGGAGCCCGCGCTGCAGAGCTGCGCCCCTTCCGGCTTCCACTCTGCTCCTGACAGCTCAGCGCCTCGGGGACGGCCTCTCCCCTGGCTGTGCGCTGGGGAGCAGCGCTGGGTCCGCTTCCCCACAGGAGGGGCGGGGGTGTTCACTGAAGCGGACGGAGGCATCGCCGACCTCTGGACTGCTCGGACTTGTGCCCGTGCGTCCCGCCCGAGGCGACAGGGAGGACGAGCCACAGCCCTGCCGGCTGGAGGGCCACGCGGGAACATTAGAGAGAAAAGCCAGCTGAGTCCCAGCTCCACAAACGAGGGCGG